CAATATCATTTAAAGTATTTCAGGGTTGCCTGCAGATGGGCACAAATTCAATGGCTTCCAGAAGGACATTTGACTAGAGTATTTTTCCTTCTTTTGACACACTTGTTAATATGCTCAGTCAAACAAGAGGGACATAAGCTTTCAGTCCCTGTTACATTCTATTTATATTGGTTTATGTATAAAATGACAGTGAATAGACACAAATTCTGCTGTGAAAAAGGCAACCCTACCAAAGGCAAGACACCTAACCCAGGGTCCTGATAGCTCTGCAGCACTCCTATCAACGATTGCCAGCAGAATCATAACTCTTTCAAGTGCAATATGCAGTAGAACCAGAGAACACACATTGCAGGAGGCTGCTATGTCCAACAGGAGTACAGAAACACTTGAAAAAGAAAGAAAAAGAAAAGAAAAAAGTCACCCTATGTGGTGGTCAGTATAGGAAATCATCAAGATGGCAAAACCATACCAATTACTGAAAATATCTTCTATGTAAGCAAGAAATTTGGCAAATTTTTAGTGTATCTTATTTTCTCCAAGAAAAATAGGAAATTCTCATTTACATTTGTTCACATTAAAATGATTCTCTTAAAGGTAAATTTGCCATTTAGGCATAAAATTGGTTTATTTTAACGGCGGACAACGAGAAAGAAAACTGCCAGCAATGATCTGAGTAAGCTCTCTTTGGTTGCAATATTCCTTTTTATTTATGTGAGTAAGGCTCTTCAATGAATAAGTTACAAGTGGTGAAAAAACATTAGCCTTGGTAAAAAACTGGGTGCAAGTATCCTGCTCTAAATTCAGAGTCAATAACCATCCCCAGCAACCCAAGCTTGAGATCTAAATGGAGAGGAGAGAGGAACATAAGAAGCAGGGCAAAATCCACAGTATGTTATGTACATTAGTTTGTCTATAGCAACATACAGGAAACTATATAAACATGGAAATAAACCTGAAAATTGTGTTGGTTTATAATGCAATCTTCTAAAAGTGTGAGTCCAGTTCTTCACCTGCACTAAAAACAATACATAATATATAATATACATAATATATAAGCCCACTGTCTTGCCACAGAACAACTAAGATTAAAGTCTGTGAAACAAATGTTAGAATATTGTATCTGATATATTGTCCTTTTCTTCTATTAGTACAGGAATTTGACTGGCTAGTAACAAATCCCAGATACCTCTGTTTGTTACATCTACGTAATGTGAGACAGCGCTTCTGTTCTGAAAATCACAGCGGCTGAAATAGCATACAGTTCATTTATCACAGTCTACAAGTTGCACTTCTGACTTTTGAAGTTGACATCAAAGTTAGTTAACTCATGAAGGCACTGAAGAGCCCTCATCTACCTCTATGTTGTCTCCAAAAAGCCTCATGATCTTTTTCTGAATAAATCACTCCTTTTCATAGAAAAGGCTCTTGAAAAAGTCCCTGGGGCTGTCTTTATCATCCCCCTCGCTCCAACTTCTGTATTTCCCCAAACATATTAAAAAAAATGAAAAAGTAATTATTCCCATAAACTGATTTGCAGCACATAATACTTTGACTTTCAAGAGACTCTAATACTCAATTTGACAGTTCTTCCAGGTTCTTCCAAAAGCGTAGTTTTTTCCAAGAAAAACAAACTTCTGTTTCTTTTAAAGAAAGGTGACTGAATAAGTCTCTAATGTGTAATCTTGTCAGATTTCATGTGTGGCTTTCCTCTCTGTACTCTACCTACAATGTCATACTCATACATGTCTTCTCTTACATTTTGTCTATATGGTGCATGCTTTTTGGTGGGAGGTAGGGGAATCAGTTTACACTATGCCCTACCCTAAGGTGGCCCCAACTCTTCTAGCACATCATCTAGAGCGCTGTGACAGACAACAGAGACTGTCTGCAAAGGGTGTTCAGTTTTAGCTCATGCCTACAGTGTTCTGATCTACTCTTTGCTCCATGTTGCAACTTAAGAAAGGAGGGGACCTCCTTGCTTCTTAAGCATCAAACCTCCTGGATTACATATTGAAATTGTTACATACCCTGGGTCTTTTGAAGAATATTTTTTTCAGGTGACTTCTCATTATTCTAAATAGTGTCACTTGGAAAATGTTTTAAAAAAAACAGGGGGAAGTCTCCAGGGAAGAAATCTGTAGACTCTTCTTTGACTCTGAACTCTTTTGCAAACTATTTAGTGCACGTTCAGCACACTCTGGATAGACATGAATACTTTCTAGAGGAGATTTAAAACAGTTACAGAGGGAATACTACCTTCAAATAGACACGGAAAACTAATGTTGCTGCAATAAAAAGTAAGTTAATGCAGAGGTCTTATCCACAAGGAGATAAATTATTTTAAGCCCCACAGGAACAAAAGCTGCAATACGGTAAAATTATATTGCAGTAAGTCATTCATCCAGAAAAGTGAGTGGAGAGAATCTAAATGTACAGCATGAATTAAAACACCCTTGTCTTCATACACATGGGAATTTCTGATTGTAACCACTAGGCAGGGAGATGAGATATACATTCCAAAAAATCATCTGTGCTTGAATGGCCTGGAACATAACAATGTGTTAAAAATAATGGGCTTATTGGTTTGGAAAGTCAAACTACAGGTATTAGTAAACAGCTGCAGTATTTGATTTCCTACACAGTGTTATGAAACCCAAGAGCTAAAAAAGAAAAAAACCTTCTGAAAGTTCAGAATACCATCTTTTTCTTTTTCTATTAATGTGCTAGCTTCACTGGAAACAATCATGTTCCCCTTTTGCAGGATCTTCCTGTTAGTAACAGTTGCACAGAAATAAAGTTTTCTAAACAAACATCTTATCTTTTTATGGAAGGAAGTCCATTAATAAGGAATTGACGTCCTTCCCTGAAAAAAAAATCAGTGCTAATTCCCATAAACTGAAGAAATAAACTTACACCCTGAGATTTTTTACTCTATTTTCACAGCAAACTGGCTAGTTTGCACGTAGATAAAATGGAACTGTTTGGGTTTTCTTATAAACAACATCTCTGTTGCTACCTTGCCCCATAATATTGAACAATTAATCTTTTCCTCAGTTTTCGATTGCTTCATGAAACTTGTGCTTTATTTCAGTTGTACTCCATGCATTGTTAAAACTACATGGCATCCTGTAAGCAACTTTCAGTCTGGGAACTTCAGAAACACACTATAATTCTCTAATATTTTGACCTATGCCATCGTTTTCAGAAAGACGTCCTTTACCCAACAAATGCAGCCAAACACACTCTAGCACCTGTACTCATAATCTACTGTGCTTTTTGTTGGCTTTGTCAGCTACACAGGACATTTCTTTTGCTCAAAATGAACTTCATCATGGAAAATCCTCTGACACAACTTTCATTGTTTCCCTTCTTCAAAATAGCTTTTCCTTCAGACTAAGAGAATTTGAAGTTGACGCTGTACTGTATGCTACTTGTGATAAATAAAACACATACTTTTCTTCCAATGGCTTCAGAAAACCAGTAGTTTAACCTACTTGCAACAATGCTGAAAATAGAAATGTTAACATGTTTAAAGAGGGGTTACATTTTCAGCATTATTGTGCGTCATAATTTAAAATCTCAATGTCACACTTCAGAGAGATCAGCTAAAGAGAATGGCAGAATAATGTAGTCTGTGATTATCATACTTGTACAAATTTAGGAGTTATAATGCCATAGTATTTTTGTACAAAAAGATCTATTTATCTCAAACACTTTAAATGTTTGACTCTGATGGATGCAAGAAACCTCATAAAATATTCACAGTAGGAATTTCAAAATGAAATTTTGAGGAAAAAAGTGCACCAAATGTTGCAAGAACATTGTTATTTCTCTTCAGCTGTGTCTGTAAATGAGTTCTATTTCAAAGGCACCTATTCCAGTTTTGAAAGATGAAACACTGTTCTGTTCCAGCAATCACACTTAGATATCATAAGAATGTGAAAATAAAAATCCACAGTCCTTCACTAAGAAGTGTGCATCAAGTTTTCTTACACAATACTTCACTGGAGCAGGCATTTAACATATGTCTTAATGTAGATAAATAAAAAAGTTGCAGGCAGTGACACTGAGCACTAGACTCTTCCTCCTCTATAGTGAACTAAAAGATTCCTTCCTGACTCCATTTTGCACTAAGATAGTTTGCTTTCCAAAGATTAGTCCTCCACAGAGGTGACAAGCCCTAAGCAGGTAAGAGTCAGTCCACATTACACAGCTTTGATGGTATTGGTTCCTTGCATTCTTATTTGGCATCCATATATACCTTTACACACTGATTTTTACAGTTTACATTTGTTGCTGGTGGAATCAGACTTAATGTGCTTGCACATGTTTAGTAACATACATACCTGAGTGTCACTATAAAAGCAAGAGCAATTTCATTTTCCCTTCGCTCTTATTCTTTTCAAAGACTTAGGTCCTCAGAAAGGTTTCCCCCCATTTTTGTTTCATTCTCAGTAACTGTACTGCAGAACAGTGACCTTTTATAAAAGCAAAACCAGAGCACTGCTTTAAAAGGTCACACAGCGCAACTCAGAAAACAGAGCAGATACTCTGGTATCCCATGACAGCACCGGCACAGGGACACAAGGCGACAGCCTGACAAGTATCTGGACAAAGTAGTATGCTGAAGGTTTTTGTCACTCAGTAGAACTGTCACCCGTTCTCCAGGAATGCCCTTGTCAATAAGGATACTTAGTCACCTTATACAGTTTCCAGCTTTTCTGCCTTACTTTTTCTTCACCCTCTTTCTTTTAGTTAATGCCTCACAAAACGTTTCTGATTCAGAAGGATTCTTGATGTGGGAAAAAGCTTGGGGCAGTCTCAATAATGCTCAGTAAATACGTACAAAACTCCAAGATTTTTGATAATTTTATTTTGTAAGATCAAATTTTGGTCAGCTGTAGTTAGTGGCTAGCCAAAGTATCTGTGAATGGCTTTAGATCTCATGATGGTACCCAGTACATCAGACAAAGAAGCCCATTCAGTGGTGTCACTGTTACCTGTGCCACTGTCTTTTCTTGACCTCTCACCTCCACGTTCGGCAACACTGGTGTCACAACTGGTGGAGGAGGTGCTCTGCGCTTTTTCACTTCTGGGTTTGCTGTCATTCCCGAGATGTTACCAAGGGACAGTGATGGACCCAGGCTACTGGAACGAGAATTCACCGAAGGGGAATTTGGTGCTGTGGAAAAACCCTGTAAATGGATTAACATCTTGGATTAACATCACTCTTTAAAAACAATGGGAAAGAAAGAAGAAAAACAAGACACATCTGGTTACTGTTTAAACAATTATATGAATAATCATGTATGTACCTCTGCCAAACCTGCTGAATTGCAAACTGTAACTTTTGGAACTTCTAAAGGTCAAGTGGAACAAAGCTTACAGGCAGTATTAATAATACAGGAGGCATGATAAGCACCTACTGTGGTTTAACAGTAGTATTGATGGGAACACTACTGCTGCTTGCTATTTATAATATAAACTTCATCAAGAGACATAATTACAGTTATACAAATACATTTGCAGGTGCATTTAAATTACAAGTATTACACATTTCTGGAAGCAAGATTTACTCTTAAATGAGAACGTTGTATTAATAAAATGCTGTCAGTATCCCAGGCTTGTCTATTTTATTAACAATCTGTCTGATTTACCTTAGTCTTCACTGCAGATTTACACAAGAGATATTCTGCTACCAGTGAACTATTTCCAATTTACATGCAGAATCAAGCATAATCACTTACAATATACTAAAAACAACGATTTAACTTGGTGAAAAGAAATCCTACTGACAGCCACTACTCTGGATTTTAAGAGGCCCAGATGAAAGAAGAAGCAGAAAACTTTTTAAATAATTCCTTAATGTTAAAAATTACTTTAGTTCTCATTGAAAACTTAATAAAATCAATGAAAAAAGTTTAATTGATTTCAGATCAAGGTCTCAATGCATTATTATATTAATGCACAAACAAAAATATATGCAGTCATATAGTACTAAATCTACAAATATGAAAGACTAGTACATATGATTTCTTGAAAATGTGTATTTTGATTTTAGCTTTGACTCTTAAAATTCAATACAATTGTTTTTAACTCTGCTAATAAAAATCATGCAAAAACTTTTCCCTCAAAATCTGAGTCACCTTTTTCTGTTTTTAATTAAGAAAACCTTTCATATTAAATTGAAGATTTTACTGTTTAATAAGTTATGAGACTGTAACTTCTTCCCAGAAATATCTTCCATGGAATCACCACTGATACCACTTCATCATGACCTGGAGTAGAATAGCTGTTCTGGAAACAGACTGATGAGAATGGTTGATATAGCTGTTCTTATCATAACAGAACATGCTACCACACTTGCAAAACTCACCCACCAAGGACATAAAGCCTCCTGGTGGAATTTTGTCTAAACCCACAGAATATGTACTGGCAGGAAATAATGGCTACCACAAATGCTGTAATTTTTGAATAATAAATAAACAATAATTATTTAAAAAGTAGTTCTTTGAACCTCTCCAATCTGGAAAGTGATGGAAAATGTTTTGCCTCAATTATATACCTCCCTCATCATTGTGGTGGATATCTGGATATCTCTAGGAGTGCAACTTGCAGTGAATTTAATTTGTGACATAGCATGATAATTCCTTTCTACAAATACGAAGTGCAAGCTTAGGTAAAATTCAAATTCAATTTGAGCTTGCTTAGAGGCAGCAAACTCAAAACCACAATTTTAGGACTGTTGAAGCATAAAGAGCTAAAAAAATAGAGCAAGGAATAAAGACGTATCTAATACAGGCTCCTGACTGCCTGGTAAAGTTCCATGTAGATTCCTGTGAAAGCAACTGAAATGCAAATTGATTTGTGTCTTGTCTTGCATTTACTTACCATGTAATAACCATCACTGACTTAGGACACTTTTGTTAAATTTTATGTTGCACACTGCACAGTACCTTTCATCTTGGAATAGTATGTTTAGCACAAACAGAGCATGTTACCTGACTAGAGTTTTACTGAAGGATTAAAGCAGTACTGGCCACAATACTTTTTCATCACCAATTTCTCTGAACTGAATGGCATCAATAGCATCTTTTCCGTTCTAGCAAATGAAGAAAAAAGCTCAAAGTGGAAGGTGGGGTTTAAAACTTTAATGTTATAAAGAAATACAGTCTTTTCTTGGCCCTATATCTTGGGCAGTGGAAAAAATAATGATCTCATCTGTAAATCACAAGTTTTAAGTCATTCTCAGTGCATATTGTACCTGGTTTTATCAAATAAAATTTGTTTACTCCTACAGAAATGACAGCATTCACAGGGTGAAAGATGAAGTAGTCTCCTCTTTCCACACATTTATAAAACAACTGAACAAAAGAATTTCAAAGTGCATTCTACAGGTATGCTTCAGTGACTGTATTAATTCTTTGCTTTTCCTTGCTGGATAAAAAAGGTTAAGGAATTTTTGGTAAGAGATAAAGATGCATACAAGTAATAAAAACTCCCTAAGACTTCCCTAGTACCACTACAAATACAGGGTGCTGGTAAAATTAATATCCTACTCAATTCTATCTCAAGGTCTTGTGGTTGAAGAGCTACTAGAATCCTTTTCCAGGCAACAGATCATTGTAAAGGAATACAGTGATGAACAACCAAGCATTTTAAAGCTGGCTGGGGTTTTTTTAAGCTTGGATTTCCTAAGAGAAGATACAGGGGAAAAAAAATTTAATACTTACATGACACTATAAATAGTTTAAAATAAAAAGACTTTAATGAAAGAAAAAAACCACTTTGGAAATTCATCTATGCTTTCTTTTCCAAGTGCAGTCTTTACATCAAGCCCATTATTCCCTTGCTAAACATTTCAAGAATGTTCATGTAAAGACACTTCCCCTAAAATAAAAATCCACCATGGCTTCCAGGGGAATGGAATGACAATAATTTCAAAATAGTTTTGGAAGCCCTCTCATTCAGCAATAAGAGCTTTGTCTAACTGAAGGCAGACCTTCAAGCTCTCCCATGTGTGTAGTCCTTTTCACCAGCTTTAAGAGAAAAAAAAAACCTTAGACACAAAACACTGACACAAGTGGTTTTGGCATGGCTCATCTTTTGTTGTTAAACTAATCTAGATAGACAATACCTAACCTAGATTTTATATTTTATGTTGTGCTAGATGCAGTGCAGTTTCTTTCCAAATCATGGGATTTTGGAAGTTTGGTTTTCAGGTAGTTTAGCAAGGCAACTATTAAGAGCATGCAATATTAATCAAGCAAAATTTCAGGGACTTGATATGTACATGCCAAATACTCCAACCATCTCTCATTTCTTGTTTTTCTAATTTCTTATCAGAAAACCAATTGAATTACTCAAATTACAGCAGTGTAAGTGAGGAAAGCCAACCTCAAGAATTGCAGCCAATGTTGCTGGCTAAAAAAGTCAGCCCTTATCCTCCGTTTCATTTGACAAACAGGTTAGCATGTGTTCTACTCAGAATCCAAACAAGTTCATCAAATCTGTGTGTTTGGTAACAAAACCAAACAAACAAAAAAAGAGGAAAAGGAAAAGATAAATAAATTCATGAAAAGGAAATTAATGGAAATTAATTATATAAAAAGCTTTTAAAATGTCGCCCAATTTGTACAATCACAGTCTTTGGTAGACCACTAGTATTAGAGTATTTAGCTAGCATTTTAGATAGTAATTAACTAACGCAAACTAGCAAGAAAAAGAAACAGTTCTGTTTTTTATTTTTCCTGAATTAAGTCAAAGCAAACCCAGTACAAAACTACATACACCAGCATAGGTCAGCAGTCAGGTTAGACTCCAGTTCAGCAAGGGTCTGGAATATGTACTGAAACATAACCATGGACCAAAGTCCATTTCGATTCCATGAAGTAGATATCAAAAAGAGGCAAGAAACAGCTGCAGTACCTACTTATGGTGTCCTCAGGTTTTATCACTGTTTCATGCTAAACTTGCCAGCTAGTTTTTTTCCCCTCATTAAATTTCTGAAATCTAAGGAATGTTCTTTTTTGTTCTAATGTACAAGATGTTTTCTTTGGGGTTAAGCACAGTTTAATTCTAGGATTTTTTTCTACTAGCTCTTCTAATTGAAATTTAGGTTTCAAAGACTTTTTTGAAGGGTAAAGAAGGACTGTTAAAAACACAGAAGTATCAAGGCTCAGAGTAAGCTGGTGAGGTAGGTATACCAGTCCCATTTTCAAAAGACACCGAGCAGTCAGCTTTTTACAAGACTACCAAAGTCCATAGCCTGCTGAACACATGACAGATTAAGTGCCTAAAGCAGAGGCCATTCTGTGTTCCAAGGTCATCACCTAGAATGAAATTATAAAACATCTTTTTCAAACTACTCCCTTTTCAAGAATAAACAGAAGTTCCGATATCTTTCTGATACTTCTGAAAATTTTAATGTCATATTAATAAATGTAAGATTAATCTATTAAAATATGACCATACTGCTGTGAGAATTCCATTTTACAAAAACAGACATGCACAGAAATGGAAGTCAGCTTATGTTTGTTTTCAAAAGATATCTCTCATATATAAAGCCCTGTTGTTAGCATTTCCTTGATTTTCTGATGACACTAAGTGGTATTTAAAGGTCAGCAAGGAAGAGACTGCAGATTGCCTGTGAGAGTGATTTGACTTCCCGTTCCCTGTTCACACCGGTCAATAAAAATTTTTCAAAATGTCAAGTTCTTTTCTTGTAAGGTTCCTACAGCCAGGCCTTTCTTCCGCAGCTCTTTGCCAAAACTCACATATTTGAACTCCCAGTCTTGTTATGCAATTTCCTTCTCAGAAGTTTTTAAATCAAAAGTAATCAATTGAGCTGTTTTTAAGCACTCAAAGTACCAGATGTATCAGCAAAAAGTAAGGTGTTTATTTTTTCCAAAACAGAGACAAAAAATAAAACTATCATAAAGGATATAATTTTTTTGCAAGTGTACCATGGGTAAATATGAAAGGTAAGAATTAGAGCAGGCAAACAAATCTATCTACTCAGTGGGAGCAAGAATATTTATGTCTCTTGGACATTTAAACTCCATTAATGCAAACTCTGGCCATTTAAAACATCAGATAGGTTATGTCAGACCTACTGCACCAACTGAACTCAGAGGCTGCTTTCCTTAATGTGATACTGATATTACTTATACTAGCATTAGATTTGACAATACTG